CCCAAACTATGGTGCCTCCCTCCGGCGCTCGCGCTGCGCCTTCTGGGAGTTGTAGTCCCAGACGCTCCATTGCCGGGGTGGCGCCGGTTGGACTCCGCGTCCCAGCATTCCCTGCCGCAACCCTGGAGCACTTCCGCCCTGGTGTGAAGTGGGTGTCTCGGTGGGTGAGTCCGGGTGGCGGGGCGCGGGCAGCTGAGTCTCAGGCTGTGGGCAGGAGACTTAGGAGGTGGTGGTGTCTCAGTGGGCCGGGAAAGGGGAGAGGGGAGATAGAAGCTTTTATGTGGGGGTGGGGGTGAGGGGCGGTCAGAGGCTGAAGCGTCCGGAGATGGGAAGGGTCATAGAGGGGTCGGGGATAAGGAGGGAGAAAGAAGGCCCTTGGGGGTGAGGGTCTTAGAAAGGTCTGTAGGTGAGGAGGCCGAGAGAGGTTCTGTAGCTGGGAGAGTCATGGAAGGGTCTGGAGATCACAGAGGAAAGGATAAAGGGTTCTGGGGCCCTGGCACGAAGTCGGGGTAAGAGGGCCTGAGCTTGAAGCCTGACCTTAAAAATTAGTGTTCCAGCGTCTACCTGCCCACCTACAACAAACATACCTAATGTGATACCCTGTTCGTGTTTCTGTCATGGCTGTGACCCAGGAACCCAGTGGGTGGGACTGGACATGTATTCCGCCCCAGACCTGCACTTCTTTCCTTACACCGATGGATTTGAATGGCACTGTCATCCACTTTACCCGTGCGCCCTCTGAGCCCTCTTGCATTCTACCACATCCATTTCCTTAATGTGTCTTGAATCTGCACCTTCCTTGTCAGGATTTTTGCCGAAGCCTCCACCTTTTCACCTCCCCAGCCTGAGCAAACACTTCGTAGCTAGTGTGATCTATTTAACCCACAAATCTGATTATGCCTTATGCTTAAAAACCTTCATTGCCCCCCAGCATCTATAGAATTAAATCCAAACACCTTAGTCTGATATTCAAGACTCTTCATAAACTACCTTTGCAACCTAATCTTTATGCACCCTATACTCCAGGGCTGTCAAGATTTTCCCCATTGCTTGGGGAGTCTGTTCGGTTTTCCAATATTATACATATGCTCTTCTCTGCTTGGAACCACTCCTCCCCCCTCAAGAGAACCATTTTTTCTTTGAGAACTAACTCAAATGTTACTTTGTTCAGTACCCCCCACCCCTGCCAACAGACCTCTTTTACTGCATTTACCACATTTGACCATAATTATCTGTGACTTTTTTTGTTTTTTTGGTTGCTTCTAGTAGACTGTGAGTGTTTCCAGGACAGAAATAGTTTGAGTCACCAGATCAGATTAGTTAAGTACTTGCTGTAAATCAAGCAAATCAGTAATACTTGATGAACGTGTGAATAAAGACCATCCAGGATGAGCTTTGCTACATTAGGTTTGAAGACTGCTATTGCAAGACTGCTATTGCTTTAGTCTTCTGCCTGTTAGGACTTCTTTGCTAGAAGTTGATTGCCTATGGCAGTTTAAGCCAGGGATGGCAATACATGGAATGTGTGCTGCCATTTCACCTTCTTGTGTCTGGCAGTTTCAGCCAATTGGTCACAGCACGTATTCACATAGGTTTCAGAGTCCTTAGCACAGTCACCTGAAGCTGGTGCTTTAAATGAAACCTATTTGCAGCCCCTAAGTGTTTTAGTATGAGGTCTAGTTGCTTTAAGCAATAATGGACCAATAGCCAAGTGAGCTGATGGGAACTGTGGGAACTCCCAGTTTCTTTCTTTGTGGAGGTCACAGACCAGCTTGACCTTTCCCATGGGCCTAGGGCAGACCTTCTCTTCCTATTCCACCATGTGGGCCCCTCACGTCCACATCTGCACTGGCTGCCCCAGAAGCCAGCATGCCCCTCAGGTTCCCTGTGTTTGTAGAGGGATCCTGATTTGACAGCAGTCAACACCTGTCCCTCATTGCTTAGAGAAATCTGTACCCTCTTCAGGTCTCCCTGGATATTGGAAGAGACCTCTGAGATCATATAGCTGAAAAGTAGCAAAGTGACAGCTGATGCTGAATGAAGCCTACTGTCGTGCTCTATTTAATCCTCATGGTGTCTAAAACAATTTTGATTTGGTTGTCAACATTTCAAATCCAGAATTTTAGCTTCTCTTGGAAAAATCAGAAGGTCTGGGAACACTGGCCCTGTGTGCCCTCTGGTGCCCTGCAGTTAGCCACAGTGCCCTCTCCATGCATTTACCCATTTATATTGCCTGGCCCCTGTAGCCACTTAAATTTGTAGCTACTAATTCTAGCCTCCCTGTCCCTTTGCTCTACTCCCTACATACTAACTTGGGAGCAGCTGCTGAACAGGGTCAGGCTATAAGCTGCAGGTAGATGCAGAGGCCACATGACCTGTCTAAAGTCACACAATTGATAAATGGCAGGAGTGGAACTAGAACCCTGATGTACTTCCTCCTGCCTTAATGTTCTGTCCACTGTTTATCTTAGAAGTTTGGATGACTGGCAGACATAGAGGAGGCTGTGTGGTGCGGTTAAGAGAAATGACTGGAAAAAACGAATCTGGGCTTAGATCCCAACTCTGCTCTTGCTTGTTGTGTAACCTTAAGGGAATCTTCTTCATAGTAGTTCAGTTCCCTATATATAAATTGAAGATATGGTAGAATCATACCTTACAGGATAACTATATTCTAAAGTCAGCAGTGAGGTGAAAATCACATTTAGCCAAATACCTGGTCAGCTTGAAACCCTTTGGCAAGGAGCCATTTAAAAACCAACACGCTATCTTGAAATAAGCTAAAATAGTGCAGCTGGGTTTTCTTGGTTGAATGTTAGATGGAAGAGTTAGCTTGTGTTTAGGGACCACATTGTATGAAAGATACTCTGCCCACACTCAGTGGCAAGAGGCTCGAGTGGGGACCAGCAGTCATGGGTATCCTCACCACATGCTCACTCTGGAATAGACACAGTGAATGGAACTGGTTGCACGATTTAAATTATGTCCTTTCTTTCTCTTTCTGGTGTTTGCATGTACTTTAATCTGTGCAAGTTTCAGATCAGTGTAATGCCACTCAACATAGTACTTCACTTACTTGCCTAGAGGGTTCAGTGAGATTATGCCACTGTATGGACCCTCAGTAAATGGGTACTCTTTGGGGTTGCTGATCTTTGTGAGGCCCTGATATTCCTGATAGTCTCAGTGCTGAAGAACACCCACGTCTATTTCCCCGTCAGCTCTCTGTGAAATAAATCACTGTTGGCTGACTGTGTTGACCTCTGTCTGTGGATGGTCTGCTATTCATATGTACCTAAGAGAGTAGCAGAAAAGTCTTTAAGACTTTTATTTCAAACTAACCTTTGGGACGTTGACGACTTCCCAGAAGAAAATACCTATTACCTGAGACTCTGGGCTTTGGAACTGGTGGGAATACTACTACCTGCCTATTTTGCAGTGTCTCTCCATACAGGAGCAAAAACTTTGCTTGGTTCTTGACTGTCTCATTTGACTCTAGCTTTCATGAAGGTAGAGACTTTCTGTCCTAGTTACTGTTGGCTCTCTAGCCCCCAGTAAAGTGCAGTGTACATAGTGGGACTGTAGGTGACTGGTGAGTTAGTCCTTGGGTGAGAGTGAACATAAATATGTTTGAATTAGTGTATAATTAAGGCTGTGGTTAAAAAAGAAATTTCATCAGAGCTTAATTCTTCAGCTTCCTATAAAGGCTTCCATAGCCTATTAGGCTTTTGATGTATCAGTTTTACCATTTTAATAAAGGGCAACAAAACTTTGAATGTTCTTGCTATTTATCAGATGCTGGTTGAAAACTGTGGATACAGAAATGAGTAAGACAAAGTACTGGCCCTAGTAATACAACCTAAAAGGGACTGTCACATGTAAGAATCGGTGAGTACAGTAGCATAGGATAGCACCCATATTAGACGCATGTGCCAACAGCTTTGAGAACACAAAACTGAGGAAGTTCTTGGAGAGTAGGGATGGGGGCAGACATGACAAGGGCATGTCAAGGGACCCTAACAGCTGAGGTGACGTGAGCTGGTAGGTAAAGGACAAGCAAGAAGTTGCCAAATGGTTGTGAGTTGTGTTCTTAGCCTTCCCCTAAGTATGTTGAGGACGTGCTATGTTTCTTTAGGACATAAACATGTTATGTCTTGAGGATAGCCTTTATTTTTCATCACCCTTGCCTTTTTTCCTGACAGTTTGTCAGATGGCCTCAAATCAAAATACTTCCCTCCCTCCATGCTCAGTTCAGCTGTGTGTTTCCCACTGGGAAGCAGCTAATAGCCTCCTTTGAGCAGGCATTTTTTAAGTCATCTAGGTTTGTTGGGAATGAGACAAAGAGCTCATTTTTCCAGCTATTCCAGAATGAGTGTGGTCAGTTTTCATCTTGTAAAAGAGGCAACCCCATATGTTCCCTCAACAAGCATTTGCTGAGTTCCTCTCGTGTGTAGTGCACCATGTTTATTGTAGGGGTCGGAGGGAGAAGGGTATGAAGAAAAAGAGTAGGCTGTGTTCCTTGCCCTCAGTGAGGCTGTAATCTCTGGGGACACACAACCCTTTAATGCACTGTAGAAAGTGGCAGGTGTCACAGAGATAGACATGAAGAGGAGAAAATAATTCCTGCTGGCATGAGCAAGAAGGCCTTTTATTCCTTTTTTTCCTAGTGTGCTCAGGAAGGGATTAATTATGATCCATGCTTCATGACACATCACCATCATTAGTAGACCATTATTTCACTGTTTATTGAATACTTCCTCTGTGTGCTGAGCTAGGACCCTTAGTAAGCTTATGATCTAGTGGAGAAGATAATTGCAATAAAGTCTGATCCAAGTTTTGGTAGAGGAAAACATGAGGAAGCATGAAATCTTGTGGCTGAGGGCCGAGTCTTGTGTTGGCACTGGGAGGGCCTTTTGGAAAAAGTACAATTTAAGTTGAGACCAGCTAGGTGAAGAAAAGGAGGAGACTGTTGCCCAAGTAGACTCCAGCATGGAGGGTTCAGAGGGCAGCACAATGTAGGGGCTGCAGGCTGTGCAGCTGAAATGTCCTGACCAGTGGGAGCTTGCTAAAGGGATGAGGTGGAGACTTGGGCAAAGTTTGCACTTTATCCTGAGAGAAATGGGAGGTCCCCAAATTGTGTTTAGCAGGGAAGTGACATGGCCAGAGTTTGATCTAGTCTGGTTGTTGTACAAAGAATGGACCAGGGGTTGGGGTGAAGGGAGTGGAGGCAGGGACATGAGTTAGGGGGCTGATCAAGTGAAAAGCATGATGATTCTTGGGACCAGGGTGGTAGCACTGGGGATGTAGATGCTCGGAAGGCCAACTGGAGACAGCTTGGTGATGAATTGATTTGTGGGGGATCCTGGAGGAAGATGATGACCAGATTTTTGGCCTGGGTGACTTGATGGAAGTCGTGCCTTTGCTGAATGGAGAGCTCCAGAAGAGGGACAGGTTTGAAGCAGAAAATGATAAATTCAGTTTTTGACCCATTGAGTTTGAGGTCCCTTATAGACAATGAAGTGGACATGTTCTGTAGATGGTTGGATCTGGGGGTCTGGAGACAGTACCTGCCTGGAGTTTTGGGAGTCATCAGTTTAGAGACAGTGAAAATGCCAAATGGGTGGGATGAAGCATGGTGGAGCGTAGCGTGAGATGGATTTTGCAAGGAGAGCACCCTTAGAGGAAAGCTTAAGGCTCAGGAAGAAAGGCCTTATGGAGGGGGTGACATTTGAAACCCCACTTGAGGGAAGGTAAGACTTTGGACACAGGTAGAAGGGGAGAGGCTGTGCTGTGAACAGTTCATGGAAGCCCTGATGCCAGACTAAGGCGTTTAGGCATGTCGCGGAGGATTAAATACGGTGCTGTCTTCCTCCGAGGTGTGCTGGCTGCTGGTTTTGGTGCCAGATTGTGGTCTAACTTTTTGCATGTGGGAAAGGGGTGTCTCTTAGCACCCCACCCCATGCAAAAGCATGAGGGAATGGGGGAAGTGAGGCTCCTGAGTCCTCTCGCTCACACTGTCCTTTGTGTTTCTGCCTTCAGAGCCTTGGGGAGCATTTCTTCTCCCACAGCCCCTTGAAGGACTCACCGTAGATGCAGGAAGACGCTGGCTGAAGATGGTCCAGCTGAAGTGAGGTCTCCAGGATAGACCATGGCTGTCGCCTGGGAATCCCAGGCCCTGGCCTCTCCCCAACCAGGGCCTGAAGAGCTCCTGGTTGTGAAACTGGAGGAGGGCTCATGGAGATCAGAGTTCAAACCCTGGGAGAAGGGCAATGACCCTGTGCCTGGCCCTGAGGCCTTTCGTCAACGCTTCAGGCAGTTCCAGTACGGGGATGCAGCTGGACCCCATGAGGCCTTCAGCCAGCTCTGGGCACTCTGCTGTCGCTGGCTGAGGCCGGAGGCCCACCTCAAAGAGCAGATCCTGGAGTTGCTGGTGCTGGAGCAGTTCCTGGCTATCTTACCCAGGGAGGCCCAGGCCTGGGTGCAGGCACGCCACCCTGAAAGCGGCGAGGAGGCGGTGGCCCTGGTGGAGGATTGGCACCAAGAGGCCAGGGCTGCAGGGCAACCGGTGAGGCACATCGCCTGTTCTCCAAGGAATGGGTCAGGCAAGGCAGCGGGACTGTGACTGGGTTCATAATTGCTAAGATAATAGTAATAATAGTTATTATTATTGAGCAACTGATATTTATTGAACATTACAACATACCAGGCACTTTCTAAGTGCTTTCCATGTATTTACTCATTTAATCCTGTCAATAATTTAATGATAGGTACTGTTAGTCTAATTTTACCAGTGAGGATACTGAGCAGAGAATAGATAGTTAATTGCCTCAAGATCCCATAGCTACTAGATGGTAGAGGTAGGATTTGAATTCAGTTGGTCTGATTCTAAAGCCAGCTTTATAGCGCCTGGTGTAAACTGTCTCCCAGTACTTTATTCACAGGATGGTTGATTAGTATTATGTTTCATGCTTAAAATCTTTTTGCATATATGATCTTTTTGGATGCTTACAGCAGTAATGTAGGTAGACAGAAATAGCATTATTGTCCTCATGTTATACATTAAACTAAGGCCTAAAAAGTCAGGTGGCTCACAAAGCTCAGTCAGTATGAACCAGATCCTTAGGTTCCAAGTTGTTCTTTCCACTGCATGATAGATGCTTCATCTACAAACCATGGGAATTAATATACCTCTGAATTATGAGGCTCAAATGAGATATTAATTGACATGTACTGAGTATTCATTGTGTGTCAGACAGTGTTCTAAGCTTTCTCTATGTATTGCTTATATAACAATACAGCAATCCAATAAGGTAGGTACTTCATTTTTGAAATGGGTAAACAGACTCTGAGAGGTAAGTAACTTGTCCAAATTTATATAACTAAGTGGTAGAGCTGAGATAAGGGAAGTGAATGGATTTTGGATTTAACATTCACAGTTTCAACAATTTGCAAGAGACTCTGAAGACCCATGATGTAATTTATAGTTTTTCTCTGACACAAATTTTGAACCCTGCTTTGGAGCTGGCTTATGTAAAACAAAGTCCTTAGCTGGCTGTGGGCTGAGCCAGCCACCCAGAACCTTCATGTCAACAACAACCTATTGCTTCCACTTGGTATATAGTCAGTAATTCTTGGGATATTAAACTTAATCACATTTTGTTGGGGGAAATGATAGGTTTGAGAGCATATCCCTTGCAAATGGCAGGGGTTTTCTGTAGTGAAAGGTAAAGCTCTATATAGATGTGAGATTAGGTGGAGAAAGATTGAAGGTCTGTGGCTTTGGTTTTTGGATTCCTTTATAATCCATGTGAAAGCATAATATTTAAAGTTACAGAACTAAGTATGAGAGAGTGTACTTTATTTTGATATACCACTCCACCTTCCCATATTATTTCTTTCAAAGAAACCAGCTGTTCATCTCAGATTTGGCAGTGAAGAAAAATGGAAGTCTTAGGACTTCAGAGCTGGAAGATAAAGAACTTAAGACCCAGAGATGAGAACTGATGTAAATCGAGGTCTTTGTGATTCTTCATCTGTAAAATGAGAGGGTTGGACTAGACTAAAAGTTCTCAAATTATACCCCTTTGAGCAAAGCTTGAATTGCTCCCAAAACAGAAAAAAATAGGATAATAGAATCTTCTGTATTATGTATTTTTTTTCCCTGTGACTTTTATTTTTATTTTTAACTTTTCTTCCTGCTGTGGAGTGCTCACAAATGCCAAAACAAATGGATAAGGAGCAAGGGAGCTTGTTTTTTTTCCCAGAATCACATGTAGTATGTGATCTTACATTGCAAGGCACATACCTTAGTTATATCTCTGTAAATGAAACTTTTCCATGTCTTAATAATGGAATGAAATGCATTAACTACATTCCTCAGAGAGACCCACCATCTGAAAAAGGCTGATGGGTACTAGGCTAAAAGGCCTCTGAGATGGTTTCCTTAGAGAGATCTTTCATCTTTGCTATTTCATGATTTTTAGCTTGCCCATTCAGTCAACACTGTCTTGTAGAACCCTTCTCCCCATTAGGTGCATAGACATTAAAAAAAAAACAATCTTATTTTTTAAAGCAGTATTAGGTTCATAGCAAAACTGAGCAGAAAGCACAGAGAATTCTCATCTATTCTGTGCTCCCCCACCCTCAGCCTCTCCCACTATCAACATCCCTCACCAGAGTGGTACATTTGTTACAGTCAATGAGCCTGCATTGATACATCAGTCACCCAGAGTTCATAGTTAACATTAGGATTCAGTCTTGGTCTTATATATTGTCAATTTTGACAAATGTATAATGGCATGAATCCATCATTATGGTGTCATACAAAACAGTTTCACTGCTCTAACAATCCCCTGTGCTCTGCATGTTTATCCCTCCCTGCCCTTAGCTCCTGGCAGCCACTGATCTTTTTACTGTCTTCATAGCTTTGTCTTTCCTAGAATGTCATATAGTTGGAATCATATAGGATGTAGCCTTTTGAGATGGCTTCTGTCACTTATTAATATTCATTTAAAATTCCTCTATGTCTTTTCATGGTTTGCTAGCTCATTCTTTCCATTGTGTAGATGTACCACAGTTTATTCACTACTGGAGGACATCTTGGATGCTTCCTGATCTTGTCAATTAATGAATAAAGCTGCTGTAAACACCCATGTGCAGGCTTTTGTGTGATGCACAGGCATTTTTGATGGATTCTTTATTCATCCCTACTCCAACCCATACCCCAGTGGTATTCTACTACTGATTTTCTCTTCTTCATTGTCACTTGAGTCTACTTCTTCCTGTCCACAATTACCATCCAGAGATTCAAAATCTTTGCTTAGGCATGGCAGTAGTTGGAGGGGCTAGGTCTGGGAGCAGGGATTGGTATGGAGTCTAGTCACACAGTTTCTTTGTAGATTATAAGATTATAACTGTAGCAAAGTGAGTTTTTTTTTTTTAACTATGTAAGAATGTTGATAAGCTGATGTTTTCTTTCTGTGAACTGTATAGGACCTTAGTGGGTCTCATTTGGAATGGCTTTTTATGTTCATGGCCCATTCCTGTCTAACTTCTCAATGGTAAACATCCCTTTCTGTGAGCGTGGATTTGAGTTTTCAGATCAGCCAAAGATTTTTAGAGTTAAGTTTGGCAAACACAAGAAGCTGATGAAGATGGATGTTACTATTTTGAGTCATAAAATAAGGTTCAGAGCAATGTATATAGTTGCTGCTTTTTGTGTAAAAATGGGGAAGAAATAATATGTATTTACAGTTGCTTGTATATAAAGGAGCTCTTGAATGATACAAAAGAACAGTGGTTTCCTGTTAACAGTGTGGAGAAACTGGGCAGATGAGATGGGGGATGGGCAGGGGTGGGATATGTTCACTGAATACGTCCTTAAGTATATTTTCACTGAATACAACCTTAGGTATATATTGTAGCTGGTTATTATGTACCCATTTCAAAAATGAAGTACCTACCAAGAATATTATACATATACATCCTATACGTATAATATTATGTATATAGAAAATATTTTTGAACCATATGAGTATTGAAAATAGTTATTGAAAAAACTGAAAAAAATTTTTTAAAGTTAAGTGTTTTCTATAAGGCAGAGATTGTTACATTTGTTGGGGTTTTAGGGCCAGGAAATAACACCTTGGCCTCTACCTCTGAATTTGGAACCACTGAGAGAGAGAAAAAATCAGCCTTATGATTGATGATACTGAACTGGGTAATGTCCAGGCTTTTAATTGATTATTCCTTTTTTTTATATGTATTCTCTGTATCTCGAATACTTTATGCCTGAACTTCTACATTGACATTAAATTCGCCACTCTGTTTTCCTTTTGAAACTTTTGTCTTATCTTTGCTTTTCCTTCTGTTTTAAGAGTAGCTGTGCCTTTCTGAAATAGCACATACTTATATATGCCATTTAAAAAATCCATCTGTGATTCTTTTTCTATTTTCTTACATAGTTATTTTTTAATTTTCTTTGCCTTTCAGCAGGAACACTTAGAGCTATTACAGTTAGAGTTATAGTTCTGTTTTATGCTTCCCTTTGCCTTTTAATGTGCACTTGGCTAACTTTGATCTTTTTATTGATAACTTAAAAATTAACCTATTTTTTGATGTTTAGAGGCATGTTTTGATGACATGTAAGTTTTACATAAGGTATCTCTTTATGATTCAAAAATTTTTTGAACACTGACAGCCTCATTGAGACACTTTGGATAGCCTTTCTGTGTTGAGCAAGACAGTAGCCCTTTGGCAGTATAAATGCTGGTCCATTTACTGAAGTCAGTCTGATGCTTTGTTCTTATACTTTGAGTCATCTTTCGGTCTTAAAAAGAGCCCATTAACCTCTGGACCTAAGTTGTACTCAAGACAATATTCCCTTCCCTAGCTAATTGGTCTCACTGAGCTGACAGTTGGGAATTTTGACTGTCTATATGTAGGAGCTGGAATTGTGTGCAGAAGAGACCAAGTCCTTAAAAGCAGTGCAGGAATCTCGAAGTTGTCGGCTGCAGCCAGCACGTCCCTGGCCTGAGGGACCATCCCGGAGGCAGTGGGTGAGGAATCCGTGCCTTGACCTTCCCAAGCATCTGGACACCACGATGGCACCACAGGCCTTGAAAGAGAGTGGTGAGTGGCAAGGATCAAGGAAGAGGGGCAAGGGGTGTGGGATAAGAACGAGGGCACCAGGAGGAGGGATATGCGGAAATCAAGGCAAAGGATCGAACAGTCTGATGGGCACACCGAGGTAAGGCAAGTAAGCAGAGTAAAGGTGGAGCTGCCAGCAGAGTCAGCGTGCCCCACTCTGGCCGAGTTGTACAGCAGGCTCAGGCTGGGGCCGGGGCAACGTGGTGCTCACAGGAGTCCAAGGCTGCCATCTCTCATGTAGCATTGTTCAAGGCGGCTAGATACACTGGAAAGGACGTAAAAGGGGAAGTCTGCTCTGGCTGCTGGGACAGTCTGTTTGTTTCAAGCATGGCTTTTGGGCCCAAAACAGGGGGTGAGGTTTTGGGAGCTAGAGCTTGGGTTTCAGAGGCTTTTTCTTCTCCCCAGCTGTCCTCACTCCCCGAGCCCCTACTGTCCCAAAGATGGGGAGCATTGGAGATTGGGAGGTGACAGCTGAGTCCCAGGTGAGCTGCTGTTTGTTCTTCCTCTTCTAGCATTCCTTCTCCTGGGCTTTTGTTCTTGTGCTCTTCTCCTCTCCCGGGGGCCTGCCCCCAGCACAAGGGCATAAGGCGCAGGGTGGTAGCCTCTGCCCCTCGCCCTGACCTGCTGGGCCTCTCCTTGGCCATGCTGCTGCTTGGCTGCTAGCCTCACCCATGGTCTCCCTGTGTTGTTACCTTTCCTGGGGGCTGGGAGGGTTCTCAGGCTGTTTTCAAGGATCAGTGACATTTGAGGTCCTTCTCTTGTACATCACACAGGAAGCCCTGGGCCTTGGCAGACACGCTAAGAAGGAGGTCTGCAAGGACCCCCCCGGAGGCAGCTGGGGGAGTGGCGTGTCCCTGGGTAAGGAAACAGTGCCCTCTGAAGAAGATATTGTCGGGTTTCTGGTACACTCAGTCCCCAAGGAGCATTTCATTGCTCCCTTAAGACTCGTGGCTCCGTGAAGTCTATAGAATTTCAGACATAGGAAGACATGCCCTTTATGGCCAACACTGTGGCGGCAGGGACGGAGTGTGGGGAGTGGAGTCTGCCTGGATAGAGGCTGGCAGGCTGGGCTTCCAAGAGCCTGTGCTCTCGGGGCTCATTACCTTCATTCCCTCAGTGTGTTCCACTGTTCTGGGGCTGGGCCCAGCCTGCTGTCTGAGAAATTCAGTCTTTTCAGCATCAAGCAGGGTCTCTCTCTCTCAGTGGCAGCCTCAAGTGCACTAAGTCCATGGGGCTGGTACACTAAACTGCAGTGAGGAATAAATATAACAGGGCTTGTAACCCTTGAAGTCCACAGACAAGCACACATCCTCTCTGTAGGCACATCTCCATGGAAAGCCAAATACAAGTGAGCCATTTCTTCCTGGAGCTTGGGGTCAGTGTGAGGGGAATTAGACATGAGAGTGGAATAGTGTCGAGGAGGAAATGATTGGTCTGACTCATGTCAGGTAGGATACTAGAAGCTTGTAGGCTTCTTGCTTGACAGTATAGCCCCTTTTTTACACTTGGTATTTGGGGAAAACTGTTCAAAGGAACAAACTGGGAAATGCTGGACTAGATAATCCTTAAGCTTCTTTTAGCTCTAAACTTTTTCATCTAATTTTCTTTAAACATTTAATTAAAGCCTTCCTATTTTGCTAGGGCTGGGAGCTGTTGGGACAGCATCCTTTAATCATAGCTAATAAGTGTTTTAAAAATTCAGGAAGTTAATTTTCTCACATTATTGGCAGTCCAGTGGAGGGCCTGTTCCACCCACAGTAGCAAGTGGCTCAGCAATGTCACAGTGGACCTGCTTCGTTCTTTCTCTGTTCTGCCACCCTCAGTGTCTAGTTATTGCAGCTATTTTGTATCATGGTCAAAAGACAGTTGCCAATGGCAGTTGAGAGCACAGGTTTCCCAGCAAGAGAGACTTACACACCACACGCAGACAGACACTCATACACACGCACACACAGACTGAATGAGAGCAAGAGAGGGAGGGAGAAAGGGCGGGCGGGAGAGAGGGAAAAATGGGGGGAAACTCTCCATCCATCCATTAAATTCATTCCGATTGTGCCAGTTTAGGCCATGTGCCCATCTGTGGATCAACAATAGTAACTTTTTTCTATGATGTATTTCCTAACAACAAAAAAGCAAAAGAACAAAGCAAACAGGTCAACTGTTAGCAAACTAACATTCTGGTGAAGTGACACTGTTACTTCTAATTGCCCCTCCTTATCCCTCCAGACCTTTTGAGGCATTAGCATGGGTATTTCTCCCTAGTCTCTTGCAGGGAAATGGTACATTTCAGGGATATTTTGGATAAACACTGTTCAACATTAATCATTTCTATTCAGTCATTTCTCTTCTTCCTTTTATAAAGGAGTTCCAGTTTCAAAATCAAACATCAACTCCCAGCAAGAGCAAGATCCAGAATTTTGGGGGCCAGGCCTTGTAAATCCTGGCAAAAGGAACACTGCAGATTACAGCCTGGATAATGAGCAAAAAAAACCAATACAGGCACTGGCCTGGAGGGACTCCAGGGCCTGGGAGGAGCAATACCAGTGGGATGTGGAGGACATGAAGGTGTCAGGTGTGCACTGGGGCTATGAGGAGACCAAGACTTTCCTGGCAATTCTGAGTGAGTCTCCTTTCTCTGAAAAGCTCCGGACTTGTCACCAAAACCGCCAGGTGTATCGGGCCATTGCAGAGCGACTGAGGGCACGGGGCTTCCTGCGAACGCTGGAGCAATGTCGCTACAGGGTCAAAAACCTCCTACGGAATTACCGGAAAGCTAAGAGCAGCCACCCACCAGGGACGTGCCCCTTCTATGAGGAGCTGGAGGCTCTGGTGAGGGCTCGGACGGCCATCAGAGCCACAGATGGCCCAGGAGAGCCTGTGGTACTCCCCAGGCTGGGGGATAGTGACACAGAGATTGATGAGCAAGAAGAAGGGGGCTGGGCACTTGAAGAAACAGCAGAAGACTGTAATGGTCATGACCTGGCTGCTGATGAGTCTGTCCAGGTGCCCAGGATTTCAAGGGGCCCTGCTCTGTTCCAGAGTCGCATTGGTAAGAACATGTGGGTTTAATCGGATCCAGATTCCATCCCTTCTACCAGCCCAACTTCTGCTCCTGCAGTTCAGGGCATAGACTGCAAGTCTGCATTAATGTTACTTGAGTAAGGTGCTAAGTTCCTTAGGTCGTCCTTGAACTTCTGCTATGATCTTCTATGATCAGCTTCCCTGTACAGGTTTTCCTAGTTACAAATGCAAACTTAAAACCTTAAGGGACCTTAAAGGGGTAATTCAGTGTTTCCCAAAGTGTGTTCCTGGAGTATGGAGGTGGTCATAGGTGCTACATGAGTGAACTTTTAATTTTAATGCATATAAGCACATCAGCCTGTCACTTCACAGATAGTATTTAGGTAAAGAAAGACATGGAGTGAACTTTTTAACAGATAAGAGCAGAAATCTTGACAGTATATAGTTGAGCAATTCATTTTGGGAAATAACCCAGTTATTGTAAAAGTGGGCATTGAAGCCCAGAAGATGAAGCATCTTATCTAAAGATACATAGTGAACACAGTGAGGTAGGGGCAGAGTCAGGATTGGAGCCCAGAGCTCTTTCCTCCAGTTCTATGTGGTTTTCTCTCCACATGCTGCCTCCCTGGGTTTCATCATTTATCTGCAGAAGAACTGAGACTAGAATACCACCCTTTCATTCCTCCACAAAAGAGGAAAGGGTACCCTTAGTTGGACTCTCCTGCAAGATTATATGAAGTCCATTTATGTCTTTATGAATTCTTAGTTCCCATGTCTGTTAAAAGAAAGTTCATAAAGTAAATGGAGGATTTGTAATGAATTGATAAAGAGAGAGTCTCTTGGCTCCCCATTACAGGCCTTTCCCTGAGCCGGTCAATTGAAGCCAGAGGAGTGAGATCACCTGGTATAACATGGCTATCTAAGTCCTCCCCTTTAGCAAAGACCCTTAAGAATGAGTTTCTTAGACAGGATGAGGGGCAGGAAGCTCTGGCATGGCCCTGAGAAGCAAGGGTATATTCTCTGCTGGTGCTGCAGGGCCCCCGGACAGTTTCTGAGGTGCGTAGCAGGGCAGGTTACCCTGGTCTGTGATAACTTAGATAACTTAGATAACTTAGTTTTCTTTACATCTCACAATTCTGAACTCTTCACTCCTGACAGCAGGTGTGCACTGGGGCTATGAGGAGACCAAGGCCTTCCTGACCATTCTCAGTGAGTCCCCATTCTCTGAAAAGCTTCGCACTTGTCACCAGAACAGCCAGGTGTACCGAGCCATTGCAGAGCGGCTGTGTGCACAGGGCTTTCTGCGGACACTGGAGCAGTGTCGCTACAGATTCAAAAATCTCCTTCGAAGCTACCGGAAAGCCAAGAGCAGCCACCCACCAGGGACGTGCCCCTTCTATGAGGAGCTGGATTCACTGATGAGGGCTCGGACTGCAGTCAGAGCCATGGGGACCTTCCGGAAGGCAGTGGGTCTCCCTAGGTGTGGGCAGAGCAGTACCGAAGCTGATGACCAGGAGGCCTGGGATGAAATGGCAGATGAAGATGCCATCAAGCCTCCAACCCCATGTCCTAAAATCCCAGACACTGGTAAGCCTGGAGTAATTGGATGTCCATAAAATCCACAAGCCTGCAGACAGATCAAGGGAGCCAGGCCCATTATCTCTAATTTCTGAACTAATAGAATGGAATTGAATGGGAAAAGGATTTGTGTTTTGCTCATATTATCCAGTCTCTCATTTAGTGGAACCCTCAAATGAGATAAGCAGCTAGTTCTAGATTTTACTGGGATTCATCTGGGCAGTTCTAGAGTTTATTCAATCTCATATGACACAGGATATACCGAGTGCATTAGGAGAAGGAGGTGTTTGTTATTAGTAGTTGGGATAGGGGAATTGGCCAGGGAGACTGACTGGCTAGCTGCCTGGCCTGGGCCTCAGAGCTCCCCTGGTGTGGTCACAGGTTCTTGTTGTTCCAGACTCTGTTCTTAGCTTTGCAGGTCAGAAATTCATGTATGTACCAAAACTTGATTTCATGTACTCAATTTCATGTACTCGCATTTATGAGTCGCAGTATGTCAGATATAAGATACAAGATGCAAATTTATGTTAGCCAAATTCATAAGACATAAGGTAGGTATATAGATGCTAACTAATGAGTGGACAAAAACTTCATTTCTGTCAATTGTTTCAGGGTTTGAGATGAGGCATGGGAATGAAGACCAGACATCAGAGCAGGAGGACATTTTTGAGGATTTGCCTGGAGCCTTATCAAAATGTACTACAAAGGGAGTTTGTCCCCCTCATGAATGGGGGGAAGAGAGTGAAAGTGAAAATGAAAGTGAAGGTGCAGGGCAGTGGGGAAATCTCCCACAGGAACAGTGGGAAGAATGTTCTTCTGAAGAGGACTTGGAAAAACTTATTGACCATCAAGGCCTGTACCTTGCAGGGAAACCCTATAAGTGTGACCAGTGTGATAAAAGCTTTAGTCGGAGCTCCCACTTCGTTGCCCACCATCGGATCCACACAGGCGAGAAGCCCTACAAATGCCCTGAATGTGGGAAAAGCTTTAGTGACCGCTCCAACCTCAACACCCATCAGAGAATCCACACTGGAGAGAAGCCCTACAAATGCCCTGAATGTGGGAAAAGCTTTAGTGACCACTCCAATCTTGTCACCCATCAGAGAATCCACACGGGGGAAAAGCCCTATAAATGTGGGGAATGTTGGAAAAGCTTCAACCAGAGCTCAAACCTCCTGAAACATCAGAGAATTCACTTGGGTGGAAATCCTGACCGCTGTAGCGGTTTTCCTGGGGAAAACTTTGGGCAAAAACCATCCTTTTGTGCTCACTGGAGAGACTCTACAGAGGAGACAGCTGAACCTCAGAGTGCCAGGAAGAACTTGAATTTTGGACTGCACAGCACCAACTCAGGGGAGAAACTTTATCAGTGTTCTGAATGTGGAAGAACCTTCTCTAAGAGCTCTGCCCTCATTAGTCACCAAAGAATTCATACGGGAGAGAAACCATATGAATGCGCCGAATGTGGGAAAAGCTTCAGTAAGAGCTCCACGCTGGCTAACCACCAGCGAACCCACACAGGGGAGAAGCCCTATAAATGTGCGGATTGTGGGAAGTGCTTCAGCGAACGCTCTAAGCTCATCACACACCAGAGAGTGCACACGGGAGAGAAGCCCTACAAATGCCTTGGATGTGGGAAATTCTTCCGTGACCGTTCTAACCTCATTACTCACCAGAGGATTCACACGGGGGAGAAGCCTTACAAATGCAGAGAGTGTGGGAAATGCTTTAACCAGAGCTCCAGTCTTATTATTCACCAGAGAATCCACACCGGGGAGAAACCCTACAAGTGCACAGAGTGTGGCAAAGACTTCAACAATAGCTCCCACTTCAGTGCCCACAGGAGAACCCATGCAGGAAGGAAGGCACTGTAAGAGACACCTCCCCCGCAGCAAGGAGATAAATGTATATTTAAACCTCCCAAGATCCTAAGACGTATGCTAGAAACTTGCCCAGTTTTTAAGCTTGGTGTATACCCAGGGAAGTTACTTTGGTATGATCCAGGCAATTTGGAAGTAAACTACAAATGCCAGGGATCCACTTAGAATTAGAAGCCACTTTTCTTAAGTGTAATTTGTCTTTTTTCTGTGAACTGCTCCCACCCCAACCCTCAGGCTGTCCTTACCTTTGCTGTCATGTAAGAGCTTTGTCAGTGTCTGAGCCAAACTGGTAATTTAGGGGATTAGCAACCAATCAGTGGTCCTGAGCAGTGACCCTAAACCTCGCTGTGCCTTCATGCCCTCCATGGTACACCTGCCCCATAGGCATACATCAGCAAACTCATACAGGGCAGTTTTCAGTCAGGGCAGATCCTTGTGGGAGAAGTTAGGACTCTGGTAAGAGAGGGGCATAACTGAGGATCTGTGGCCAAGAGTAGGCCACCATGACCTCAGCTAAGTAAGCACAGTGACATCATTACTAAGTCATTAACAATAGCAAAAAACAAGCCAGTATTTCTTGGACATCTAATCTCGGTAGGCTCTGTGCCGAGCACTGTATCACATCATCTCACTTAACCCTCACAAGAATCTCAGGAGGTCGGTACTAATATTGTCCCAGTTTCCCAGTGGAGAAAACTGAGGGTTGGGAAAGTTAAGTGTTTGGGTCACACATCGCAAGGTGGCAGAGGCAGGATTCAACCAGATCTGTCTGTCTCCTGAGCCTGGGGTACTTTTGCCACTAAAGTGAATCCCCTTTCACATTAGGGCAGGTAGCTCAGGTGCTAGGACCTCAAAGCACTTTGTGGACCTGTTAAAAGCCCTTCTGAATTCTTCCTGTTAAAATTCCTTTATGAATTTTCTTAACAAATAAGGAAACCATATTTAATCCCTAAAGATTAAAGGATTTGGGATGTTCAGAATTAGTATTATGCCTTGAGCAAGCATGAGCTATTAACACGTGTTGTGAATTTCCATCTTTAATATGGGTGGGAGATAGGAAATATAGGTGGGTTGAGATTGGGAAAAATATGTAGCCAAAGTGATGTTTCTATCAATGAGATACTGCTTTGGCTAAGGAAATAGGGCTTAAGAATTTCCCTTTTCTCAGGGAGTCAGTCCTGCTTCTTGTTTGACAGTAAGGCTAAACCATAGGTTAAACCTTACAGAAACCTGGGCCTGCTTTTTTGTGGCCCTGGCCCTTCCCCTCTTGACATGGCAGAAGCTTTGTTCCTGATTCCTGTGCCAGGACTGAGGTGGAAGGGAGGTGGAAGGAGCTGGTGTGGTTTCTTCCTGAGAGGGCTTTGAACACTCTTGAATATTCCAGGGTCAAGGCACAGTTTTGCCCGTCTCGTCCCAGGCCTAGCCAGTGCTTTCTAAATGTTGGTGTTAAGACTCCTCCTCCCCCCCAATATACAAACTGAACTAAAAGGTTCATAGGATGATTTCCTAGCTTGCAGCACTTTGGCCTCCAGAGTTTCTCCTTAGGAGAACTTAAAAATGTTCACCAAGACTTTGGTTTCCAAAGGATTTTAAAGGAAATGCCTTCCCTGACATCTGCCTGTGACACTGGGATGTCATGCAAACCCTTGTCATTTTGTGGACTGAGGAAGTACCTGTCAGATAGTGGATGTGGTGGAGCCATGAAGAATGGAACTTCATTCACAGCTGTGAGGTAGGAGTGCAGGGATTTGCACTCCCACATAATGAGAGCACTCCTTAGCCCCTCCCTCTGCTTCCCAGGTGCCAGCTCACCTGGGATCAGTGCGTGTCACCTCTTTCCCAGTTTCTCTCTCCTGGCTCACGTGGTCTCCCCTGGACTGGAACCAGCAGATGTCAGTAACTGCAATACTAAGATGAAATGTAAGGTGGTGTGTGAACTGAGAGGAAGGATCCTGAAGGAGGGAAAGGGGTTTCCAGGGAAAGGCCCAGAGCTGTGACATACATGGATTCAGGGTGCGGTGGTGAGTGGTGGGAACTGAGCTTGGGGGGGACTAGGGCAGGGTCATGGAGGAGTTTGTGTCTGAGTGGAGCCTGGAGAGCAGGCTGAGGGGGACATGGTCAGATGTACATTGCTGAAGTCTAATGGAACTTGGATATGCTGCAGTTAGGCCAACCTGTTTTTTGGGACACTGCTGCAGTTTTCCAGTTAAAAGTGAGGGTCTGAATTTGCACAGTGGTGACATTGAGGAAGGGCTGGCCTTGAGAGGTTTCAGAGGCAGAATTGAAGACAGCTGAGGAAAGCTAGAATACTCTGGGTGACAGGTAGAGCATGTGATTATTCGGAATCAGGAACACACGGAGGAGGTACAGGTAGCATGGGGGCACAAGGTTATGCTGAGTTTGGGATACTTTGAAGGTGAAGTGTATCGGGGACATCCAAGTGGCAATATGCAGCAGGCATTTGGCTATCTGGGCCTGAAGTGGGGGAGAGATTAGGACCCGAGAGTCATCTGTATGCCTGGGAGTTAGCCTCATGAGAAAGGGGGTACATTCAAGTGATAGACACATTGGGCCTTGGACAGAACTTGAGAAGCACCAAGCGTAGAGGAAGGTGCTCCTCAAGGGAGATCTAGACCACTGCCCACTCCTGCCACCTCCCACACACCTGCCACCTCTGGGACAATGCCGACACCTGAGTTATCAGGGTAGTCCTGCATCTTCTAGAACCTTCACTGTGGAAGCCAAGCAGGGCTTTGTGAAGACAGCCCTCTCCCCTTCGAGTGTCACCTGTTCCCCTGCTCTTGGAGTGTGCTAGTGTCTCAGGTTTCCAGTAAACAGATTTGATGTTTGTTGTCCGTCTCTCCTTTCTCATAACACTTGCCTGTATGTTCAGCCAGCAAAACAATGGCAGCGCGGCCAGGAGAGAAGAGCAGCCTAGGTGTTACTTGAGTCTTCCTTTGGAAGCAGTTCTCTTGAAAGAACTGGTGTCTGTGTTTGGGTCCTGGCCCATCACTTCACCAGGGAGCCCAGACATGCTCCTGCAGGTCTTTGCTGCTGCAATAAGCTGACATCTGGTTTTGCACATCCCGAGACTTTTTAATGTGACTCTGCTTTTGGGGAGTAGATTGACTTTGCAAAATGGGCCTCAGCCTGCGTGGCCACAGGTCAGCCCCTGGGTATGGGGAACCGAAGTGGTGAATGCTATCCTGGGGTTCCGTGAACTCATCCCCTTACTGGATCCTCGGTGGCGACTAAAAGGCATGGGAAGGACTCACTGCAGACTCCTTGGGAGGCAGCAGACCCAAAGGGAAAGGCAGGCCTGAGGCTGCTCTTAGGCTCCTGTTTTTTCCTTAGGCCTTGGTCCCTGCAGCTGATCTCAGGTGGTGACCGCCTCAGCGTTGGTGTCCCCCCAGCCCCCTGCCCAGAGGTGGGTAAGGCAGCTGGGGTCCTCCCATGCTGAAAAATGTAGCGTCAGGACCTCTTCTCCCTGCTTCATCCTGTCTGGAGCCCTGGTGGGACATCACTCTCTGCCTTAAGGCTGCGGAAGACAGTGTATTTACTCACTTAGTGGAGAAGAGTAACTCCCTTGGGGATGGGGGTGCAGAAGTTTTAAAGTACTGAATGCAGTGATGCCAGAGTGGGTGTGGGGTCACAGATGGACTCCTGTTCCCCAGGCCGCCCTGGGCCTGCACTCCACATCTGTCCTGGGCCTGCTTTCTTCTGCTCCCTTCACTCTGTTGCCTTTGCATTTTTTCAGTAGTGTAGATGCTGATGTCCAGATAGGATCGTCTCCTGCCCTGGTCTCTGCCTTGTTGCCTGCTGGCCAGCACTCCTGGGCCCATTCGGGCCCTTATGTCTGCTTGCAGCCATCTTTAGCCTCTTGGCCCACCTGTTAAGCACGTGCATTTAAACATACATGCTCAGTGGCTCACAAACAAGCTTCACACATAGTCGGTGTGAACACATTCGCATATGCATTCAGACTTACCACAGACTCAGTGCCCCAGATATATTTGCCCTTGCAAGGGCGGTTTCCATTGGACTGCAGGTACCCAGCTGCCTCGGAAGTCTTTCTGAATGGAGTGGTATCCAGTCAGAACTAATTATGTGAAACATCCCCTTACCTCAGTTTTGATCCCACCCTCCTTTTGGATGTGGCTGAGCCCCCTCCTCTTACCAAACCCCAATCTTATGCCCCTGCCACAGTCTGTTGGTGCTACTCCTAGGGGGAGGGCAGGTGAGGCTTGCTGTCGGGGGGCGGTTGTCCTCCATGGCTCCTGGCTGTATCTCTTCCCACTCCCATCATCAGGATGATGCATATTTTAACCATTTCCCCCTCACTTTGATTCTAGGCAAATCTGGAATTAACCTCCAAATATCTATTTTAAGGGGGGTTAAGGCACTGTCCACCCTCACCTTACTCCCGCCACCCCATGCTGAGCTGAATGGATGACCTCATTTCCCTTGGGTGCATTTCACCCAATGCCCTGGAAGGAGCCTGCACCCCAATGAGCCAGTCCTGGACTTCTCCTGGGAAGAGGCAGAAAGTTTAGGAGGCCTCTCAGTGTGTGGCCAGCTCTCCCACTTCTCAAGGCTGACAGCGTTTTGTTCTAGGAGCCACTTGGTTAAGTCAAGAGCATCAGAACAGTGGAGAGCAGAATCCAATTAAACAATTTGCCTAAACACATTGTACAAGTAGAAGAGGGATCCACACAGAGTCAATTTTCTAGTCAGGGCGTGGTTAGTGATTCTCTTTGTATGTGAAGAGGATTCTGATCCTGTCTGCCATTACATAATGCTTTTTCTAAAGTCACATTTCCCCCCCACATTGTCATTAAAGGAAAATGCCTCTAACTGCTCCACCTAGAGGTTGAGAGCCATGGGAGGGAAGAGTAAGTAGAGTTTATCTCTAAGGCTGCCCCTGGCTCAGCATGGGTTCAGCGGAGGCCCAGCAGGAGAGGAGCCCCAGTAGGGGCCACAGAGCCAGTGTCACTGGAATCTGAGTCACTTCAGTGCCAGGTGACAAATGTGACCCAGAGGGGAAAGGACTTCTCCCTCCTTCCACAGAGAACACAGCTTGTGGAGTTCCCCCCCCCGCCCCCCCAGTACTTTGGGGAATTCATAGACCACAGAGTAGCTTCTGCATATTCAGAAGCAGCAGAGACCAGAAGAGGTGGGTCAGTGGGGTGTCCTGGAGGTGAGAAGCTTCTCTGAAACCCTCACTGTGAACTTCGCCTGCGGGGCAGGGCAGGAGAGCGCCTCTACAGGCAGCCTCTGGTAAGCACAGGGCTTGTTCGTGACCACATATAGGGTCTCCAATCCAACCCCACTCCTGAAGCTTCCCAGAAATAGGAGGAGGAGGTGAAGCTAGCCGGGCTGGAGGTCAGGCTAAACACATCTGCGTGTCCTGGGGAAACACAAAACACAGGTGTTACCCACAGGGATCTTCCTTGAGCAACTAATTTTTAAGGAAAACTAGTGATTGATTTTCATTCATTCTTAGTGACCATGTACTTAAAGTGGATTACATTTTGGCCACCAGGAGGCTCAGAGGCTTAAGGTCCAATTCTAGAGATGGAACAGGCTCTTTTCATTTGCAGTTTGTGCCTCAATTCCTGGTTTCGTATTTATTTGGCTTTATTTTCATTCCCATATCCTTTATTATTTTTATTTTCTTGTGATACTACACATAACTCTGAGTTAGTGAAATCTTATTCTGGGATAAAATGACCTGATAAACTAATAAACTGTACTGATTAAACTGCCAAAAAAATGGGGAGGGGAACTTCTTTTGGATTCTTCTGGGATCTTCCTGGCTTTCACCAAAAGCCTGGAGGAAAGGAGGGGAAATGAGGGAGACCCAGTGGGGCTGTCAAGGACGATGGAGGCCCAAGATATCACACCCCCTGTAATGAGCTGCCATCTTTCCCTCACTGTTTCCTATGGGTCTTCAGACCTCAGAGGATGTACAAAAATGTAAGTCATTGCTTTTTGCCCACAACAGGTGGTTTCTTGGTCTGATGGCCTTCTCCATATGTCTACTTTGCTATGTCCCCCTGGATCTCTTTGCTGGGAAATCTGAGGTATCTGGGACCCAATAACACAAGGACATTTTTGGATGAAAAGAAAAGAAGGCCTTCCCAAAGGCTGAACTTGACTTGACTCTTCTGTACTTGACAAGCCAGGGAGAGCTGGAGGCTCTTTCTGGGGAGTCTTTCCCCCTCTTTCCTCTGCCCTTTTCCTTCTAGTCCCTTCTGGTAATAACGAGAAGACTTTATAATAAAGTCGAAGTGGAAGTTTCCTCATAAACTTTCACTTTTTGTCCTTGTGAATGGGGTATAAATGACTCTTTGCCTTTCAGACACTGTTATCCTTGAATTCTGATTGTGAATTGGTAGAGAGGGAGAAAGAGCGGGATTTCAGAGTTTGACATGGTTTTGATCAGAATCTACTAGAAACTTTCTTCTGGTAGGAGTCAGAATCACAGTGCAGGTTGTAATAGTGGTTGCAATGCATGAGTGTTCTGTATACCTTGGGACAAAGATGAGATCTGGGAGAAAATGAGTCCTGGTCTCTCTGGAGGAGCAGTTCTGGCTTGTTGACGTATTTTCATGTGACTTCTTTCTAGCAGCTGCTCCAACAGTGGTCAAATCCACAGGGCTGGCCTTCCAGGGGGACAGGACAGGGGCACAGACAACTTGTTGCCATGCTCTTGCTATGAGCAGGGCCCAGAAGTCAGTTACAAATGTTGGGGTCCACTAAGTCTGACCAGCCAACCCACACAGGAACAAGAACTCCGTTATCTAGAGAGCCAGGGAGCTGGCCAAGACCAGTATGACTGCGAATGTAATATAGGAGAAAAACTACCTGAGGGAGATGCCTTGTGGATTGGGGTTCGCTCTCCATTGGCTCCCGTCAACAGGCCGCTGGGTGCTCATGTTGCCAGAAGTTCTGGGCTGAACCAGGAATCTGCCTAGGCACCTAGTCCCCAGGTTGGCAGTAGGAATCACAAGGTGAGATCAGGGCATCCTTGGGGTCAAAGTCTGAAGCGAAGGCATAAGGACCTGAAAGCAACAGGGTCAGGTGACTTGGGGAAGTAGCTGGGTCAGGGTAGGGTCAACAGAAGTACTGAGAGGAGAGGAGCAAGTAGGGGATGGGAGGAGAGCAGAGAAGAAAAGGGAAGAGAAACAGCAAAGGGATAGGCAGGGGGGAAGCCTCCAAGATTGGGAGACAGCAAGGGTAGGAGGTAGAGATAGGGGTCAGCTGTGCTGGGTGTCCAGTGAGTGAGACAAGCGGGCAGCTGAGAGAGGTGAGGGGCGGGGCCGCGGGCCTCTCTCACCTGCTGATTTTATTGCTCGCCCCCTCCGAATGCCCTGGGCTGCTGCTGCTTTGGTGAGTCAGCCTCTCCAGGCTCTTGCCCTCCTTTCCAAACCTGTCCATTGTCCTTTAAAAGTCCTGCTCCTCACTGACCAGCCCTAGGGCCTCCATCCTCACCTAACCCTTGCTGCGCCCCCAGAGCCTGCCTCTCTCCAGAGGCCCCTGCCCCGAGTAGCCCTCTCAGACCCAGGCTGCTCACCTGCTCTCTGCCCAAATTCCTCTTGGTGGGAGGCAGGCTTGCTGTTCTCACTCCCTGCTGCTCCTCGCTGCCAGATCATTACTTCTTTTTGAATAAAGGTATTCACGTACCCAATAATTGACAGCTAATAGCTATAAAAGCTCACATTTATTAAGGACAGGCACCCTGCCAAAGCTGTGGATGACCCAACTTCAGCCTCTCAGCAGCTCTGTGGGGGCAATGTCATCATCCCTGTTTGGGGCCACAGAGGCTGGAGTGCATACCTCG